GGGGGGGGGGGGGAAGGAATTAATCCATGCTGATACACAGAAATCTGACAACTAAAAGATGTGCGCTCTTGTCTCCTTGAAAAATATGCTTCAAGCAAGATCCCTGGCGAAAGTGGGGGACTTGAAGATGGTTGGTTGAGTTGACCGCTCACAGATGTGCTGACATATGGAAGCCAGTGCCAACGCGATACAACCTGTTGTACAGTGTCAGCAGGATAATGACAGAACAGGTTGAACTCCTGCTAATGGCCATAAGTGGTGAAGGACAACTGTGACATCTACATGCCTACTACTTATCTAGCCTCTCGTTACTCATCTGGAGACCAGCTATAATTGCTTGACTGTCAGTTAAAGAAATACTTCTCATGGTGATCTAGTGCCCAGAACGTTTCGATAACAAAAACTACATAGTAACATAATTTTTAAAAGGAAAAAAGCCACCAGTCCTCTAAGTATTAATACTTTTCATTCCTATCTCATATTAATTTGAGAGAAATTAAACTATGGTTCAAAACCAAAACTGGGATACAATTGCAGGCATTCAGTCATACTGCACAGAACTGCCATACCTTTGCTGGCTCTAATAAAAATCCTCACCAAAATCATCCTTTCAATAATTACTGTCTTTGAGCAGAAGATATCCTAGTACCTTGGAAAACCTTAGAAACAATAGTAAGTGCTTGGAAACAGAAAACAGAACACACTATTTTATTTTTTCCAGTAGTGCAAAATGCAGAGGAACCCCTTTAATACTGCAGTACCTTATAGAGGAGCAAAATAAAATGTTTATTTAATGTTAGCCCTAGAGAAGAAATTTTTCTTATCTACAGATGAAGATGTTCATCTCTCAAGACTGGTCAGCTACCAGTGAAAGTTATCAAAAAAGGCATGAAAAGGGCCAATTTATAAAAGTTACCACAATTCGCAGGACTTACCTTTCCCAGTGAAACTACCAAATACCTATCCACTGTCATTAAAGAATAGCTAGAATTAAGTTTTGCTCTTCCTAAAGCAATCATTCTCATTAATGATCCCAAGTTATGTGCAGCACGGTGACAGAAAAGAGAGCAAAATCCTACAGCATGATTAATCCCCATGATTAATCTTATCTCAAACCTGCCTTGCAGACACAGGAGTTCTGCTACCACAAGGTGCTTGGTAGGAAAAAAACCAACCAAACATGGGCTTGCCCCCACATGTAAATGATAAATAACACCAGGCATGCTTGTCCTGTCTCGATGGCACGGACAGACAGCACTTAGCTCTCCTTTGGTCGTGCTGGCTGATTTCTTACATCTTTTTCTGTCTCACCTTCCCCCAAAAGAGAAAATAAAGCACCATTGCTTTCTTCCAATGCAGCAGATCTCTGGTACCTGAGCAAAAAGCACTTGTTAGAAGTAGCTCTGAATGGACACAATAGCTGACATGCTACACCAGAGCCATTTCCCACTTGACCATCAGAGGGAAAATAAGGCTCTTTTTACTCAGTAATGGAAAAACCTGTCTGGGGAAATTTCTTCCTACCAGCTGGTAGCCAAGTGAAGGCTTTATGCATGAGGTCTTGCATCCCTATAAAAAAAGTGTTCTCTTTATATGGATGCCTAATTCTTCTTTTCTCCTTTAAGTCCTGCTGAGATTTTCAAGAGTGCTCTGTGACAGCAAGTTCCACAGGTTAGCTCTAAGAAATGTTATAAAAAAACTTTTTTTTTTTCCCCCTGGCTCTAAATCTGTTGCCTTTCAGTTTCACAGGCAACTTCTTGAACTCTTCTGAGGGCAATTAAATAAGCACAGCTAATTTATCTTCTATCATTTATTGTCTTGTCTTGCTCTCATGCCTACTTTTCGTGTCCTCTCCTGCATAACTCCCAATATTCAAGTCCCTCTTGATGTGAAGGCTTCCTGGTTTTGTTATCTCTCCCTAAAGCCCCAAACTGGCTTTATCTTGTAACGCTCTATTCTGGTTAACTTCAACATTGCTACTGAGGATACACCTCCAATGTACCTAATGGAATTACTGGTTTTCTCCTTCATTGTATCCACAAATGTTGCTTATGTAGCTCACCAATACCACACACATTGCAAATACTTGTGTTGTCCAAAATGCTGCAGAGGTTTTCCTCCTGAGTGGAAGAAGTGAACACAAAACTCAGGAATGAGTGCAGATGATTCCTGCCAATGCACACTACTTGTATACGCAATTAATCTACTTTGCACTCATTGACCTCACACATCCAGCTTTGTTAACTTGTTCCTAAAAATCAATGAAACTCTGCACATCTTTATTTCAGTTAACTTTGCCAATCTCTCAGCTGCTGCTGCACGGAGAAGAAGATTCAATCTCCTCTGTCAAAGAGCTCCTGAACATGGCATGGCATCATCAGCAAGGCACATGGGGGCATGACAGGGACCTAAATAATGCTTCACAACCAGTCACACATCAGCTGTGTGTCCTGCTGCTATTATCTTTAAATGGGAAAAGTCAAATGCGAAAGATAAGCAAGTTGGAAATCTTTTCTTAAAAGAGATTGTTCTCTACAGCAACATTGTTTTAAAAGAAAAGGCTCAAAAAGACTCCTAATCAACGAGAAAAATCCTGTTTTCTTCACCCCTTAAACCTGGGACAACATTACCTTGGTTTCCCTTAGCATTTCCTCTCAGAAGTGATAAATCTGGATGCTCCAAGCTTTGTTTAGGTTTCTCTCCAAAACTAATCAATACTCCTGACTATGCATGACATCCGTTCTGTCTGCCCCACCTCTGTTTGAGTCCTACTTTCTGCACCTGAGAAGGAAGGATGAATACTCCTCAGGGAGGGAAGACCCATGTATATTTGTGACCATGAATACAATCTTTGTTAGGCAAGTATTTTTTCCTAAATGTTAATGTACAATATAATACCCCTATAAATAATTAGTGGAAGTTTGAAGCAGCTAAATCCTGTAACTACTTTTTGGACTTATCTTTTGTATGTTCCAACCCTTACTTTCTACACAAACCTAAGCTTTCTTCCACCAATAAAATTATTCAATCATAACAAATAAAGGAAATAAAATGTATGTCCTCTTAATATATCCGCGTTGCGTTAGTCACTAAGTCTCCAGATAAGTCAGAAGTCTGCAGTCCTGATATTCAGCATAGTGGAAAACCAACAGAAGGGCCCCGTAGCTATGCTCACAATCTGTCCTCGTAAAACATCTGACAGCTGCAACACTAACAAAATTAACAGTGGATGAATTAGTACCAGACGCTAAACAGTTGCTATAGAAAGACTCATCCATTTCTTTTCTTCTTCTCCCCTTCTTCAACCCGGCTACCCCACCACTTGATAAAATTAACACTCGGTATCATTTTTTTTTCTTTTGTTATTTAATAAAAAAGCACCACAAATAGCCTTTCATACACAAGATGATGAACTCCAGGCCGTGATCTCCCTAGACTCTTAAAGACACAGTCTGCAGTTGAAAGGACTGTGTCCCACTTCTCTCACTGCTTTTGAGCAGCAAACGTGCATCCACTCGCAGAGCTTCTCACTTGCAGGTTTTGGGATCCCACCTGGGGCCGTGACAGAGCTGCAGCTGAACAAGGCAACGCCTGGTCCCCTTCTTTGCCTTTGCCCCTTGCTCTCTGCCCACACTTAGCTGAATTTCTACCTGCCTTTGCCCGCTACTTTTCTGCTCTTCCTTCCTTCCTTCCCTGCCTTCTTAGGTCTTCTTTCACTGAGCATTTTTAAAATTTGGGGTAAGGAAGCCCAGTTCAAATGTGAGCATTCAAACTCATACTGCAACGTCTGAAGCAGGTGGAGTCCTGAAGTCCTACAAGGGCATCGAAGAAAAGCAACTCTGGACATCAAATTCAGAAGGGTATTCCAGCATTGAACTGGAAATGAGGGCAAGTGTCAGGTGTTAAATTATACAGCTAACTTTACTCTATCTTGCATCAACTGCTTCAACATGAAAACACATCACCATTCAGCTAGGGGAATAAAAAACAAAAACCCACTGAAACTCATCGATACCAACTTAATAAAAAAATGTATATATTTCTATATATAATCTAATTGTGTCATCAGGGAAAAGTAACTGTTTTTAAAGGATTGGATACACATGAGGAATATGTTACCAGGAAACTCTTGTGTTACTTTTTGGCTAGATAGCATAATTTAACAGTCCTGACAAGTAGATAAATCTAAATACATAAAAACCAGCAGCATACCATCACTTGCTGACAGCATTTCAGTCATTCACTTTTGCAAGAAGCCTAGAAGGATTTGGAAGTGACTACACTAAGTATGAAGTAAAATGTCTATATTCTGCATGAGCACTCAGTGCGCATGTCCCTGTTTTTTAAGCTACAAGCAATGATTGAAAATAATGTTATGGTAAAGACTGGGACTAGGAAGGCAATTCCTGGGTCACTGAGTCCAATTCTCGATATCACAGACAAGTACATCCTATACTATCTATACAATCTGCTTCATAAATTCTTTATTGAAGACAGGTATGGCCATATACTGCAGGCTGGGACTGAGACAGCAAGATCCGTGATGGGGAAATAATAAATTAAAAAACTAAAAATAAGGTTGCAACTGGCGTCAGCAAACTTTTATGTAAAATATATAAAACCCCAACATTATTATTATAAGTCCTTCCCGTGCCCTTCTCCCAGCAGTTCACTGACTTGTCTTTATCTGGCATATCTCTCTGAAATACAAACATTTTTTTTAGTCTAGTTCTTCCTTTTACACATTCATCCTGCTATCTCTTCAGGAAAGATGCTGTTTGAACCTTAGGTGTTAAGTAAAAAGAGCTTGTGCTACTGCCTGTGAAGACCACAAGCAGTGGTCTTTCTTGCTTAATGTCACCATCAACAACAAAATAACCAAAAGACCAAGACCTGCTGTCACACCTCTGTAGCAACTTACTGCCCCTGAACACCCCGTTCCTTGCTAACAGGATGTGGGTGATATTTTTGTTATTGACACTAGAGCTAGTAAAGGATTTTATCTCAGTTGTGCTCTGCAAGGCTAACAAAAGTAACAAGTAGGGATGAAGGCAAGAGATGACAGAAGCTGACAGATACAGGTCTAAACAGCAAAAGTCTGCTGCCCACATAAAGATATGTCTCCATTTTAGCTCGTAGTTAAAGTATACGCATATCTTAAAGATCAAAAAAAAACAACAAGAAGAAAAAGAACAACTAGGTATCTGAGATTTAATACCAATATACTGTGTAGCCATCACTTGATGATTACACAAACACACACAAAGAGCAGATACAAAATAGCTATCACTTCAAAAATACAATGCCATCTGAAGTGCACTGCACCCTGATTGTTTTACAATGAGTTTGCTAAGGTGGGCTTCAAAACATGTTTTAGATCATCTTTTCCCTTCTATCCTTAATACTTAGAGAGAAAAAACTACTCTTCCTAGTTAATCATTTCCTTTCACTTTCTCAACAAAATTTTATTACTATAGTCATATTTCTGAGGCATCCCCAAAACAGGAGAAGCGAGGAAGGAAAATATTTTTCTTCCTTATGTTTTTTTTTTTCTGGGTAGATAATGCTAAACGGAGAACACTGCTGTTTGGCTCAAAATCACTATAAGGACACTTTATGCATATTTCCTTTCACAGCTCAGAAGAATCAAAAGCAGTACAATAGGAAAAAAAAATTACGTTTCTGAATTTGAATTTTGAGAATCAAGAAAAAGTAATAACTGATTTCTTTATCAGAATTAAATTTTCCCTGATGTGGTCTAAAAGCTTTTGCTTCTTTATACCAAACTTTAAACCCATGTTTGCACAGTGAGGTTGCCCTGTGTTATGTTAGAGGGCTGCAACTTTCCTCCCAACTCTCTTGCTGTTTAAAATTCCATACAATAATATTGTAGCAAATAAATTAAAATGCACTATTTATCTTTTTTAATGTGAGAGTCAGGATTTTCATCCTCCTGGTACTCTGCTTCTATAGCTCCTTTTACTTGTAAAGTCAACATTTAAATAGTTGTATCAACTTTTAAATAGGTCTTCTACAGGTGCTTTAAAAAGCAAGATTGTTTGCATCGTAATTGAAGGCACCTACAAAGCACCACTGTAAACATTTTCCACGCCAAGAAACAGGAGTTTCTTTAGGGCTTGTGAGCCCTTTGCAATCTGGAGCCATATGCCATTTCAGTGCTGCTTCAAGTCCTTACTTGTTAGACTCTCTTTAATTTTGAATTGATGCCAAGGTCAGACATCATAGCAGAAGTTTCCCATTTAAAAGCTTACCCTTTTTTTCAAAAAATACCTCTGTACGCTTTGCAATATTAGCACAGCTTTACACTAATATATCACAAAACCTATTTTCTCAGTTTCATTCTATTTTCTTCAGTTTTACCATGCCCTCTTCTAAGCCCCCTCACACTCGGTTCAAAGTCCATTGAAAGTTACTGGTTATGGACTGGGTCATACATTAAATGAAGAGCAGGTACAACCCTGGGGCACAACAAGGAGCCCTGCAACTTTAAAACATGAAGAAGACATTTTCTGGACTGCCCAGTGAAAACCTAATAGCACCTCAGAAAGGACAACAGACATGGCACCCTTAGAAACATATCACTGGAAATTAAAAATAAATAAATAACTAAAAGATACAGACAATACATACTTTTGACAAAGCTGGCTAAACAGCACTTTAGGGGAAAGAGGACCTTTCCCAGCTTCTCTCATGCTGTGAAGGAATAGGAACATTGCTGAAGTCAAGGGTCCTGGGCTGGAGAGGTTTACCACCAAAGGATCCTTCAAAGCAAAGGTAAATTGCACATCAGATTTCAAAGCTAACAACACACAAGGCTTATTTTAAGTTAGTACATTTATGACAAAGCACAATGCAACTTTCAGTCTTAGAGTGGGTTTGTTTGTTTTTTTAAAAGTTGATGTCACCTACATGAATGAAATCATAGAATTGTCTAGGTTGGGAGGGACCTTTCAGATCATCAAGTCCAATCATCAACCTAACACTGCCACACCACCACTAAACCATGTCCCTCAACCCCGCATCTGCCCATCTTTTAAATACCTCCAGGGATGGTGCCTCAACCACTTCCCTGGGCAGCCCATTCCAATGCTTAATAACCCTTTTGGTGCAGAATTTTTTCCTAATATTCTTCCTAAACCTCCCCTGGTGCAACTTGAGGCCATTTCCTCTTGTCCTATTGCCGGTGACTTGGGAGAAGAGACTGATCCCCACCTCGCTACACCCTCCTTTCAAGTAGTTGTAGAGAGCAATAAGGTCTCCCCTCAGCCTCCTTTTCTCCAGGCTGAATAACCCCAGCTCCCTCAGCCTCTCCTCATGAGACTTGTTCTCCAGACCCCTCACCAGCTTCAGTGCCCTTCTCTGGACCCGCTCCAGCACCTCAATGTCTTCCTTGCAGTGAGGGGCCCAAAACTGGACACAGTATTTGAGGTGGGGCCTCACCAGTGCCCAGGACAGGGGGACAGTCACTTTATGAAGCAGGAAGCTGGGAGTATCTCCATTACTATGAGTTAGACTAATGCCACTCTCTAATCCTGCGCTGACATACAAAGACCAGAAAACACAAGTCTTTGTTCCAAATATCTTATTTACATTGTAAGCAATGTCATTAAATAATAATAACAAAAAAATCTCTTTCAGCCTTATGGCTGTGCAAGTTTCACATCAAGCATAAGCCAATGTACCACTGGCTTTCTAAGCCTCCAGGCACAAACAGGCTCCAGACCTCCACTGTTGCTCAGGAGAACTTAGTGAAACGTGTTGCTGCTCAGAACTGCCACTGGAGGTAATACAGACAGCAACGCAGAGAATTTCATGCTGTTCTTGCCTGGAGAAGCTACAGGCATCACTGACAGCCACATACAGAAATCTTCATCATTTCAGAGGTATCTGAAACAGAATCTCACCCCTCAACCTTCCCTGCCACCAGAAGGCTCCCAATGAACAGCAGAAAAAGAAAAAATGAAAAAAAAAAAAAAGAAATCCACTGTTAAGTGCTTTTTTCAGCTACTAGACAGGAAGGGGTATCATCTTTATTGCTAACAACATATTATGGAAACCCAAGTCTCTCCAAGACATGACCAAGAACAGCAACATATTCTTTTGATAATAACAACAGGAGTTTCCATATGCCTGCAACGAGCTTCAGCACAAAAAATTTGGTCCTCACTCTCAGTTTAATCCTCTGGCCCACAAAGCATGTAATAAATTTTAAAAGCTTATCAATGAAGGGCTGCAACAGACTGGAATAAAATATTTCATGAACACTTTCTAGAGCCATATATACTATTTTCTGTATCATACATTCATACTGAATAAATTAAATGGGAAACAAAAATAAGTCAGCCATTCTTTCTTAAGGTCAGACATTATTTGCTACTTCAGTGTCACAAAATGTGAAAGGAAGCGATTATTCCTCCTTCTCCAGGGCTGAATAATTAGTTTTGTAAAAGGAGTGAGTTCACAGAAATCATAAACCAGCTAAACAATTACAAGACGAAAGAGGAGAGTAAGAGCATCTCTCTAACGGAGATGCGATTTCTCATCCTCCAGCTTCTTCCCCCATTTCCCCAAATTTGTATTCCTCACTGCATACTTACCAATTGGGAGTCTGAAGTGTGACAGATTTTTAACTTTGTTCCTTTCTCCTTCATCTCATACATCAATTCATTTAGTATGTGAGTCTGTGCCAAGTTCTTAAAGGAAGGAAAAAAAAACAAACCCAAGAAACACAAGCTGATCTTTCAACTGTACATTTTTCTTTAGTTCTAAATTCTAGATTAAGGGGTAGCTTTGTTTCTTTATTTTTGGTTAACTTTGACTGCGGATCAGTTACATTTCTACAATGCCCTAAGTACGAACAGAGAACAATTTGCAGTAGTTCTACTCCTTACAAATTTAGTATTTGTTTGCTGAGTTTTGTAATCACCAACATAAACCCAAGGTAAAGAGCACCAGCTCAGAACACCTGTGTAGCAGTTTTCTCTCATTTGTTCATTCCTGTCTGCAGACAAAGAGATGTTCCTGCTCAACTGACAAGCAATAGGATGGTCCAATACAAAACCTGCTAAGGCTGTTGGTTTTTTGAGGATGTTGGATTACTTCTACACTCGACATCAATAAAAGTGTAGTTCATTCCTCTAACTCTAGTCAGAAAAAACCCTCATAATCAAAAAAAGTACTTTTATAACTGCATCCGTTGTAGGGGGTTAAAACCATCACAAGGCACCGTGCAGACATTTATATTACGCACAAAGTACCACTTTTCACACCCACCGCTATGGTAAATACTGTGCATTACTCATGACTGCCTAATGCTGAACTACAAATAAAACCATATGCTAGAGCACAACCCACACACATATGCAGTGTGTAAAACACTTGACATTTTCATTTGTCTCATTACTGTGAAAAATGCTACTGATCCAGGAATTCTTTTTGTTACAGCAAGAAATCTTGCTTGGAGAGCAAGGAGTAAAAAAGAATTTGAAAAGGACCTTCAGAAAGCAGAATGAAGATTGGTAACAGTCAGAACCTTTTCTGAAGCCCACAGTTTACACAGATGAAGTATTTCTGAAATCTATTACAAGAAAGTTGTATGATCTTCCCATCTTACCTGCATGACAGCATTAAAAAAGCACGTATTTCCTAAATTATTTATTCCTTTAACTGGAACTGATGCACCATTAGCAGAACTTTTTCCTTTCAGTATTTCACTTGTTTCACTGTTTTCTTCACGGAGTCGTATGATTTTTGATGAACCTATAAGTAAACTATAGATTAACATAATTGCTTTATATTAAGTTTAATCAATACAGTCCTTCCATGGATTATGTTTATCATTTTTAACATCTGTGGAAAGATGGTACTCTTAAACTGCTTTATGTAATCTTTAAAAAAAAGAGTTGTCAGCAGTTAAACTTCTGGGAAAAAAAAATCACCCCCAACAACTACATATATCCCACAAAACCCTCCACAATAATCACACTGTCCCGTAAGACTGTAATTTCTTCAATTACCCAAGCAATAAAGTAAAATGGCCTGTGTTAATTTATTGACAACAGGCAGTTAAGGTGTACATTCATTAGACACAGTAGAAACATCACAAAAAGGCTGCTTTTTGGTGCATTTGAAGAGAGGTAACCAAAAGTTACCACCTGAATGCTGCAAGTCTCTATCAGTTACCGTGCTTTGTTTGAATTGCCTTGTGCAACTCAACCAATGGCCAAATCAGAGTTGTTATCAGTTTCCCCAAAAGCTACATTTGCTCCTGCACCCACCTCCCTTTGTCACAGCCTGAGGAATTGCTAATACAACCCAAATCCATACAATGCCTCTGCTTTAATTTTAAACAGCAAAAATTTGATAAAACTGCAATGGAATATGCTACCAGTATTATATACACTTATTTCCTTCTTTCCCTTATTATTTAAATAGATGAGGGGCAGCAAAGTTAGACTGTCATTAACTTGTAGCCTAGAGGTAATGGAAAGACTTGAGATAACAATATTTAGCCTCAAATTCTACTAGCAACTTTCATATTGTCATGGTTGCAGGACTAAATATGAACATTACTGACATCTGCAGTGTCTTAAATATTGATTAACAATGCATGTCAATGTAAACGAGTTATGGACTTAATAGATGCCAAGAACTGTGATGCTGCAATCTCTGTCTTGACATATGAATTCATGTATTTGTTCTAATGAGTTTCACATTGAAGTCTCATTAAAGTGTTCTTGAGAAATAGCTAACAGACCTATTTACGTTAATGAAATGCTCATGCCAAAAGGTTTTTTTATGTACACTCTTAGGTAGCTTCTTGCTTAGAAGATGAAAAAATATAATTAAATAAAAAATAAGTCATTAAAATATCTATTTTATCTGGCAACAAGCTTCTGATGTTGTCTGTCTGCACCCTTAATGCCATCAAGGCATAATTATTTTTCTAAATTGTATCCAAGTTTGTCAAAACACAGAAAACACAGTTAGAGGTGCTTTGCTGTTTAACATTTTAAAATGTTCTTGGTAATACTGCTTACACAGCTTTCCACTCGTGTGGAAAATTAAGACAGTACAAGGGCAAAGACACCAAGTTCTCCTTGAAAAAGCAGACAAAGTGTTTTTGAATGCAAGGAATGACAAACGGCTGGGGAGCTGCGCACACCCTGAAACAGCCCCTGTTTCATGGGCCACAGGCAGCAACTCCTTTTAATTGACATGTTTACAGGGGACACGCTACGGTGTCCGAGACTCCTCCACCCACCCAGAGCTCTAAAAGAATCGTAGCAGGAGAATGGGAGCTCCAAGTGTCTGCAATCCAAAGGCACTGCTCACTCTAAGAAATTTAATAATATAAGTGGAGACTTCTTCCCTTCAGAAAAGTGAGGGAGAAATGCTGGGGAGAAGAGATGGTTAAAAAAAAAAAAAAAAAAAAAAGAAAAAAAAAGCCAAAATTGTGTAAATAATTTGTGTATTAGTATACCACAGTTGTTGCATTTATCCATCGGCATTCAAAAACATCTGGGACAGCATCTTAAAGTAAACAATGTTCACAAGGCCATCTGGACAAAACTGCAGGCAAAAATTAAAGCATAAGCATATGGAAAAGCAGATTTTTCTCTTCCCTTTAGCAGTACAGGATGACAAATGTCAAACCTAGATCTGTCCACGCTTCACTGTGCTACGCTTTGCAGCACCACCTGGCTCTCCTTGCACAGCCACCAAATATGGACAGCACTGCCACAGCGGACCATATCTGCAGGGCAAACTCGATAAAAGCATTTCACTTCATGGTTAAATGGCAGCTTCACACAAGTAGCAAGGTTCCATTTGCTGAACCTTACATATAAATTATTTAAGGGGGAAAAACAAAGCCGACGCATCCGGCTTTGCGATAAGAGCTGGATGAATACGCAATTATAAAACACAATAAATGAGAACCAGACATCCGATTGCCACAAAGCTGGATAATTGGTACAGGGATAAGGAGAAGTAGTAGTAAACTAAGAAAAGGCCTCTATGTTGTTACTCAAGTCTAGGAAACTCATTCAGAAGGTTTTAATTACTGCCTCTTGATTTTTAATAGATTTTACAAAGACAATCCACGTGACGTTTCACTAGTTTTTTGTATCTGTGAAAAAGTCTCGACAGAAAAGTGTTGCTTTGCCATTACAAACATTATCTGCTGCCTCGTTTATTCCATGCAGATTATTTTCAAGGACATACACAGAGCTAGAGGAGGGACAGCAGTTTTTAATTTAACTCTGCTCAGTGTCCCCAGCTCAGTGATAAATGACAGACAGGCCTGAAGCTGAATGTTTAGTTGACATGTGAAGAGTTGGTCAGTCTTAATAGAAGATGCTGGTAATGACTGTGATAGCTAATACTTCTACAGATTGGGGCTGGAGGGTTCTTCTGCAAGATTAACCCAAGGCTACAAGCATGTTATTAATCAAAAGGGTAATATGTAATTTTTTAAAGTGAATTTGCACTGAACTGTTCCACATATTCTTGCCGACAGAGTCTTGCAATTCTGTAATGTTTTAACAGGGGAGCTTTTAGATATGAAAAGTGACTTCTATGCCAGTATAGACACACCAAGGACCCCAGCAGAAGGATTCCATCGAAAGGGCTGTCATCTCCTGCTGCCCACAAAGGGCCTTCAGCTTCTGGCCAAAAAGCGTTCTGACAAAAGAAGCACTCCAAGCCACCCTGCTGCCTGCAGTAATACCTTTGACAAAAGACCTCGTTGATGTTAACAAGAGCAAGGCAGGTGAAAAGCACAAAAGTAATTAAATTCAAAGATTAATTTCTGCCTGTAGTTCACTACTACATCTTTTAGAGAACTGACATAGTGCCCCTCAACCTCTCTGCCCTTCTCAGGCACTGCGGGCATCAGCCCCAGGCAGGTCTGTCCCTCCACATTGGGGACAGGGCATCCAACTGGGACTGTTTTGTGGCTCACGCATTCAGACTACACCTCTCTGTCAGACTCCTCCTGCAGCTTTGTTGCAGAGGTGGCCTTCCTAATCCAGTCACACACGGAAGACTCTCACCCGAGTTGTTCCTTGATCACCACAATCTCCTTTTCCCTTAACAAAGCGTATCTGGCTGCAGAGATGCCTGAGGAGAGCACTCTGCCAAGACCCACTCCATCCAACTCATCACACCCTATTGACCTCTTCTTCCCTGGCACCAGGTCAGTGCCTGCCTCTGGTCCCACCACGACGTCCACCACCAGCGCTCACTCCTTTGGCTCTCAGACAGCTGCACTTGTGCTTAGGTGCTGCCTTTGGGCTCAGCAAACCTTCCTGACATCTCCCTGTTCTCCCCCATGCAACCCTCCTTCCCACCATAAAATCAGAATGATTTAGGCTGGAAGGGGCCTTAAAGATCACCTAGTTCCAACCCTCCTACCATGGGCAGGGACACCTCCCACTAGACCAGGTTCCTCAAAGACCCAGAGGAAAGATGACAGCAATCAGAGACTGCTCCGCTGCTACAGCTCTTGCTCCAATGAGCTCTTGTCTTGCCGCTCTTTCTTCAGCCTTTTTTTTGCCTTTTTTTTCTTTTTTTGTTTTTTTTTACCTACTTCTGCTCACCTGTGGTCTGGTCTTGTAAGCTCTCTGGGGTCAGGGGACATCATTTTGTCCCACAGCTGCCCAGCACCAGCCTCATGGCTACGTGTCTGAGATCCCTAAGCCCGACATTAGCGCAGGCAATGACTCAGTCCGTGAATCAGAGCCAGTCACCAGCCCAGGTGTACAAACACACACGGCGCTGACACATCCACTTGCAAAAGATGTTCAGAAAACTTACGGCAGGATCTCCATCAATCTGTTTTTGCCAGTATTTCAAACATTTGCAGGGCTTACGGACTTCTGTACCGCCCTTGCTGAAACTGAGCTGTGCCTGGGGGTGCAGATGGTATGCAAGCAAAAAGATAAATGACATCCAATTTTTCTTTCAGCCGGGGGAGTAAGCATTTTTGCTCATCTTTTCAATGCAACTATTTATTTTTTTTTTTTAATTAAAAATGATGGTTCCAGGAATACACACTTTTATTCCAAGGTCAAGCCTTTTCTATTGAATACAACTCTGGTACTTCAGTTGAAGGTCTTCACAGTAAAAGCAAGGTTAATAGACTGCCTTTCTTTTACCAAGTTCTCATCATGCTGTATTATGAAATGCTACTAAATTGTCTGGCACTCTTTTTTTATTTAAAAAATTTAGATTTTTTTTCTGACACTGTATAACAATGAGAATCTAACCCTTAGAAAAACAGCATGGTTCTCTTCTGAAATGGTCACTAGCTTTAGGTTTTAAAAGCCCAGTTTCTCTTGCAGTGTTACAGTCCTACCGAATTAAAGATTACAACTGCAATTTTATTTCTCTGATTCTGCCAGAATGTTATAAACTAAAAAACCCACATCTGCACAGTATGAAAGAGCAAGTTATTCAAGCACCCTCTATGCTCAGATTACTTGTGCTACACCTCACAAGTAAATAAGTGTGTGGATGGGACAGGGAAGAATCCGTGGATAAAAATGACAGAATGTCTAAACATTTTTTTGGCAATGATTCAGTTTTAATTTCTTTGCAAATTGTATAATTAACAGTAGCCCCTAACAAGTAAGTAAACTTGAAAAAAAAATTTATGACTGACAAGAGAAATGCCATTTTGCTATGGTATATTTCAGATCTGGAGAATCAGCATGTTCTGCTTTATTTTGCTAGTTAGTTTTCTTTTTAAATAGACCGATGGACTTACAAGACTTTAAGGGTCAAATTACACATAGTAAAAATCAATTATGAAAGAACGCAATTTTTTTTTACAGTGTGATCCTTTGTCAACTGCTAATATACACAGACGAATGCAAATCCGAAAAGATATTCATCATACTAGTTGTTTATCCATACAAGTCAACACTTATTACTTGTACTGATAAATTACATATATTTTTTTAATCTTTCTTTTATATCTGTTACATCCCTAAAACAAAAATCTAGTTTCTAACTTTCACTTACTGGCAAATCCGGGCAGTTGAACTTACTAGCAAAATCTCATTCCTCTGCTTGATCTTCCCAACAATAAATTTAACGAGAAAATTTGAGAATAAATATTCTTCCTTCCCACTCTATTGCCACGCAAAAACATTTAATTAACTGCTCTCAAAAAAAAAAAGAGTATGCAATCTCATGTCTCCACCGACGTCTAATTTGGCTTTTGTCAAGGAAAATACGCGTAATATTCACTTTTAAGACTGCAAAACAATTTATTTTCTCCACCAAATGAGCAGACATGCAGAGCGCAATGTCTCAGCATGGTTTCTGTGTACTACATGTGCATTATGCCCATGTGAAGCTCACAAGTGTGCCACACGGACAATACTGCACCTGCCTTTCTGTGAAAATCATCATGGCCCGCTAACCTTTTCCACAAAACAAATTTCTGGGTGGTACACCCTAGAAAGCAATCTTGCTTTATTCTTCCATCTTGTGCCCAACATGACCTCTTAACCAAACAGACTCCACTAAAGAAAAAAAAAGGGAAAAAAAAAAAAAAAAAAAAAGAGGAAGTGAAGTCTCTCTCATATTAAGAATCTGCTCTCATAAACACTTTCCATCCTTGTGCTCTGACCTGCATCTCCTGTTCTTGGACAGAAAGGGGACCTCATTGTAGAAAAAACCCCAAAAAAAAAAAAAAAAGGAAAAAAAAAAAAAAAAAAAAAGCAAGCAGGCATTGCTGGGTACAACAAACCATAGGATCAGATGCGAAAATCACACAGCTGCAAGCATTCTTTTGGGAACCCAGCACTGGGATTTATCTCAATCGCTTAATGTAATTACAAAAGTCAGTCATGTAGTAGTAATGTAATTTGCACATTTTTACAGCTGAAGTGAAGCTGAATCTTTATGAGAGGCCGAGTGAAAAGCAGGGATCCTGCTGCCACACTATTCCACCACATTAGTACCAAATGACAAGCATTTTGCTTTTGTTTATTTTCCAAGATGCATTAATTAGGAAATCTATATAACCCTCCCTTACATGTTTAAGCTGATTATTTTATCTTTAAATGACTCCTGCAGTTTTGAGAACAAAAAAAAACACCACCCTAGCAGCCTTCATCTGTTACTTATAGTCACATTCATACTGCATTTATGCAGAAATTTCTACAGAATGCTATTTGAATTTTAATAATGCACCATGCAAACCAGTTGTTGCAACAGAAAGAAATCCAGACATAAGATGAATTGTTATTACAGTGCCACATTCTGATATGAAAATTGAAGTGTCTTCACTTTGGCTACTTGTTAGGAAGAAACAGAAAAGCAATGGGGAAAAAAAGCACGAGATTGATTTTTAAGTGGGAAATACAAATTGCTAACTGCCAGTTTTACACTACTTGTTTCTCACACAAGTTATTTTTCATTCATTTAAAATTAAAGCAGTTCATTTTTACAATGGCTGAACATGAAAAAACAAATAAAAAAAAAATATAAGCCAACTAACAATTTAAAGGATGACAGCTATACTGAAAATATCACTGTAACAAAATAAAATGCTACACTTAAAAAACCAAAAGATAAGTTGTCAATAGTAAATTTCCACTGTTATATTTTGTGTCCTTTGTATTCTGCACAACAGTATGAATTACATTTTGATTTCAAATTTTATTTCTAAAAAATCTTTATAGGCAGTCTAATTTAAAGAAAATTAAAAAAATCTTACTTAAGCTCCATTTGTGTAGGGGAAGTACCAAGTGTTTCAGCCCAAGTATTTGACATACAATAGAAAAGGCACTGCTGTGACATTTATCAAAGTGAAAGAAGAATGCCCACCCTGCCTGGGAATTCCCTCTCCCACATACCACTTATTTATCAATACACAGCTGTTTCCCAGCCTCTTCCAGAGAGAAGCCTGGTCCGATGCAACAAAGCACACCAGGAAAACAGCTTTCTCCTCATTCTCCTGCCACTTAAGAAATCCCAACAAATCATCTTTGGGCCAACATTCCCAAAGCTCTCAAGAAGAGGGTCCAAACTTCTCAGCACGGACACGCTCTCTGCCTCACGGGGAGGGTCGCTGATTTCCAGCTTTGAGAACATCACTGGAAGCACAGACACACGCTGGCTTTTTGTGTGAAAAAGGGCTCGCACCTGAGCCTTAGACCCTTCCTGGCACAGAGCACGAGACACAAGTGTCCTGTGGGAGCAACCTCCACGCACCAAGACCTCTTGCGGTTGAGGTGGCCACCCTGCAAGGCTTGTGCAGGACCTCCTTAGCCTTGGAGGAGACGTGACTATTTGTCTGCTTGAAACCAGCCACATGAATTTGAAGGATGAGGTGTAACCATGCAGACCAGTAACACATGCTCTGAGACACTGGGAAAGCAGACTCCAGAGTCCACCACCAATTTCAAACCCTCCCACCACCTTGCTGGAGGAGGCTCACACTGGCCACAACGCACCCTCGCCTGATGTCACCAGCGGTACCCAACTCTGCCTTTCACAGCACTGTCCTTTTGCGTCAAGTTATAAAAGAGTTTCCAGTTATACCAGGCAAATACTTAAATGGAATACATGCGTGTCAAAACAGAGTATCAAAAAGAAACACAAATCCACATACAGCAGAAACATATTCTGCCCTGTACTGCTATAAACCCCTGATTGCTGCTTAAGGCATTTCACAGAAACCTTCTAAGCAACACACTCTGAAAACATTAGATGCTTTGAAGATTCATAAATTAAGAATCTAAACTATAAAGGACACAGAGTCGTATCACTCTGAAAGCCTTAACCAGCAGTACAAAAACAAAATGAAATTGTTTCCATTAAATTAACTGAAACAAACAGTAGAGCATTTTCATCTGCAAGCAAGCTGCAACACCTGTTTATTACACGTAGAGTTGAAACTGGTTGTGAACAAAAGTGAAATCACATTGTATTTTCACTGCTCTGAGTGAAAAGATGCCAAAACTAGCAATTTATCAATTTATTACAATTGAATAATTTAACATGTAATTTGTGATTAGATCAAAATACAAAATACTTATTTCTGGGTGGCCCTTCATTTTTTTACATCTCAAAAAGTATGTTACATATCTTAAAACCAGTAGGATTTACGCACATGCAGCTAGAGGAATACCTAGTCTAATCCAGCAAGGCAGTTCTTTTCCATTCTTACTTCTAAACAGATTTATTATCTCTGCTAAAAACCACAGCCAACTGCTTTAAAAGTTTACTTAAGCTGGTTTTTTGGTGAGGAAAATCTGGAATCCAATGCGCTAAGTCACAAGCCAGAAATGCTGCCAAGTGTGTTGCAGTAGGGATGAATAATGTCAGAATTATCACAAGTAGACAGCTGAGGGCCACATGTACAAAGTTCTGTCTACTTTTACATGTATTGACAAGATCCAGTAGGCTCCTAGTGTAAGAAAATAATTTAATACTATTTTCTATTAATAGAAATAAGCATTCTATCAATTAAAACCCAATAACATCAATGAACAGAAAGCATTACATCCAACAATAGAGTACTAGAAAATCCACTTAAACAAATTTAATTAACTGTGGAAAACAAATTTAAATCAGAAAAAAATTAAGAAGTGACAGGTCCACACCAGGAAAATTAAATTAATTTATGCTTCTATATAGTTGTTGTGCATTCATTTATATGGCATCTTACTTAAGGTAATAGCTTCTCTAGAATGAACTTTCTTTATTAAAGACAAAATTTGGGAAAACTGTCCTACAGTGCCCAAAGTATTTTTAAAATGTAATCATACTGTAGAAAAAAAAAGAAATTATATTTTGACAGGCATTAACTGCCCAAGTAATAGTGTAATTACAAACTGTATTATACTGGCATTATATGCAATTTTTCAATTGTATGTTTAACATGAATCAAAATCTGAAATGCTCATTTTTAAAGACAGTACATTACAGAAGTCTCCAGATAAAACTATTTGTGTAAACTTACTTGGTTCAGCCCTGGAACCATGCTTCTGAAGAAAGTCAACTATCTGAGCCAAAACCTTTTTGTTGCAATGTGTTGACAGCTCTTCATCACATTCATAACACCTAAACAAAAGCAGAAACAAACCGGAATTCAGGATATCTGGATACACCTCCCAGGGCCAACAACCTTACACAAATTACTTAAACTCTTGGTTACAATTTTTCACACTAAAAAGATAAATAAAATTGAATTCTCTCATCCCACATATGCTGTTCTATAGATCAGCCCTAATTCACTGTGATACTTACAGATTTAAATAATCACAGTTTATAGTCCTGGAAATAATCGTATAAAAACAAGCAGGAAGGACAAACTCCTCTAACCAGCCAACTCTCTACAGACCACAATGGACTTCGACTTCTATCTTAGTATTGATTTGTGACCTCACTGAGAATGCTAAGTACAAACTAATTTTCTCTCCGGAAAGCCTGCCTTTCCTCTATATAAAGTATTCATTTTATCTGTCAGAATCGTTATTTATCATGAGAAGACACATGAGTAGTGCTTATATACAAGCACACACAAACACCTGCACACTCATTCTTACCATATGATCCACGTGCTGAGGTTGATAACAATGCAATGAGGTTCTGTGTGTGCTGTTTGGAAGTGTTTCAGAGAATGCTGGCCTTCTGAGTTCTTACTACATCCCTGAAAATAGAAACATCAACAGTAAGAGGTAAAAATTAAAGTAGGAAAGACCACATTATTAGTAAATGAACTGCAAAAACCTTACTTTTCAAAATCCAACAGTAAGCTATAGGACCCTAAATACTCATTTAGCATTCTCAAGGATTAAGACAGTATAACACTCTTAAAATCCAGTATTATAAACATATCACTTAACCTTTCTTTTTTTTTTAAATGAATAACACTTTCTTTTTACTAATAAAGGAAAAAAATGACTACACAGAACAAAAATCTCACCTCTTCTGCTTGGAAAAAATCAGTTAAAAGTATAGAAAATTACCAGATTTGTTTTAACTTCATAGAAATAATTCCTAGCTGTTGAGTAAGTATCAATAGACAGCAAATTATGCCATTCACAAAAGTAAGAATTATCTTCCAAAAATGCGAATTAAATGACTATGTAGCATATTTGGTCCACAGAATATCAAGGAAAGGACAGGACAGGTAAACCTCACTGCTTAAGAATGCCAAACGCATTCCAGAAAGCAAAAGGCACATAAATTGGTTTTGTACCAAAAAAAGCTACTCAGAACTCACTATTTATGTAAAGCAACTTTGAAAGAAAGCATTTGCAGTTTTTCAAGTATCTACAGAGTGGGACTTAAGAGATTCAGGACTGGTCTCTGAATGAGGCGTGAGTTTTGGAGGCTACATAAACATGAAAAAAAGCACATTGATTTAACTCCTTTTAAAAGTCTTCCTTAACTACAAGATTTCAGAGACAAGGTATACGAGTCCTCCTCAGATCTGGTTAACCATCTTCTGAAGCCTGCTAATAGCATGTTTCTTTGCAAAATTAAATCTGTTCAGCTCCTACCTGTATTACCTGGCTTCTGTCCTTACTACAGCAACACCTGCTGAAACTCTAAGAAACCTGTGAAATGCTTTGTTCAGGCAGCTATTAGCTGAACCAAGCATGACACAGCCTGTAAAGTGAATTTTTCTGTATCAGGTTTTACTTTACTCACAGGACAGAAACTTGCACAAGCCCTTAGGGTCAGGACCTGCCATTTTAAACTCCAAGGCCACGATTTGACATTATAACTGATCCAGTCTAATGGCTAGCTGCCACAAAAAGCAGCATTCTCACTCCAGCACAGTCCTCTCTCCCTGGTTTCAACCAAATCTAGCAATTGAGTGCCCACAATGTAAGTTGATTCAGCAATATACATAACCATTTTTCCATTCATTCGTATTTGCAGGATCTTCTGCCAGATGAGCCAACTGAACGGATGCATTTTGCAACCACACGGTTCCTGGCGCCAATTCTCCATAAGTGGCAAGAGCAGGCAGATGAAGAACAGAGGAAATGCTGGGCACTTACTACTTGTGATGCCAAACCGCACTGTAACACATAAAACTAACACAGAACACTGCCAAAACCCAGACAACACTGTAAGACCACATCCCACTCCACTGAAGAAGCTGGAGCATGGACTCTCACAGCTAAGCATTTCTAGCACGAAGGTAGTGAGATGTCAAACAGACCAGGATCCACATCAGTCGTATCCTTTAGAAAATCAGGGCCAATTTCCCTCTGTAAATTTACAGTATATGCTTACCTGAGAGCCACATTTGAGACACAGCCAGATGTCTGAAGGTGCCACGGGCTCACCATCACTCATCCGCCTCTCCTTCAGACATTCTGCACATATGGACCAGACGCTCTGAGCTACCGCCCTCTTCACATGATGCACATCCACCGCCTGGCTCACGTGCTGGCAGGTTAAGCCTAGGGAAAAGGACACATACTCACTTCCATCCATTAAAAATAATAGCTGGGAAAGGGAACACGTGTACACAAAAAGAGCAGAGTCTTCAACGACCTCAACATTAAGAAAAAAAATAGCAAAGAACTACAATAGGAAAAATCAGCCAGCTGCTGATTATATACTGAATTTTATGAAGGATCTATTTTGTGAAGGATCTCTTTCTATAATGAGAATAATTTCCAAGCCAATAAACATCACCTTTTAAAAAAAGATAAACTGCTTTGTACAAAAGTACAAGGATTACTTTCGTAGAAAATTCATTTCCCTGTTTTTTGGTTTGGTTTTTTGTCAACAGTAAAATACTACATAAATCTGTTTTTGAATATAACAACACAGACAGTTACCTCCTTTTCAATCCATAAAGAAACGTTTTCAAATACCCATTCATCCCTACAACTGCCCGTTCCAAACACGAATACCAATCACTTTTCTTCTGTCATATTTTTTTCACACAAATTCCACTATAATACCACATAACGATCTAGGTGTGAAGGAACCTCTGAAGGCCATCTTGTCCAAACCCTCATCCAAAGCATGGCCAAATACAAATTTAGATCTGGTTGCTGATGGCTTTGTTCAGCTGAGCGTTGAATATCTTCAAGGACAGAGCTTACACCAACTCACTAGAAAATTAGTTTTCTGTCTGACCACCTCAAGGTGAATATAAAATAACTTTCCTCATACCTAGCCAAATTTGCCTTTCCCTAACTTTTGTCATTGCCTTTAATCCTTTCATTGTGAACCTCCTAGAAGAGTCTGGCTCTGCACTCTCTATAACTACCTATCAGGCAGCCAAAGAAATAAACTGCACTTTCACTCTTCTGGCTGAACAAATCCATTCCCTTCAGCCCTTCTTCACGCGCCGTGTTCTCTATCTCCATAACAACCTGGAGGGGGTGATCCACTACTGGCCTCAGTTCAACAAGTCAATGTCCTTCTTGTAACAGGGAGCCCACAACTAGACAAAGTACTCCAGGTGAAGTCTCACAAGCGCTGCAAAGACGGAAAGAATCACATACCTTACCCTGTGCTTTAGTGAATAGAGTCCAGCGCACGGCAGGCACAAGCCACACCACTTGCTTGTATTCACCATGTGCACTAGGACCCCCAGGACCTTTCCTGCAAAAGCTGCTTTCAAGCCATTGATTCCCACTCTGTAAGTGCGTGCAGTTATTTTGGCCCAGGTGACAAAGTCTCCACTTGCCTTTGTTGAACTCCATGCAGTTTCTGCCAGCCCATTTCTCCAGCCAGCCTAGGTGACTCTGAATGGCAGACCTACCCTCTGGCTTATCAACTCCTCTCCCCAATTTGCTGTCATGAATACGACAGAGAGTAGCCTCACAATGACATCACCTTGCTCTCTTAGCACCTTCAGATGCATCCCATCTGATCCCACAGACTTGTGCACGTCCAGTTTGCTTAACAGCTCTCCATTTTCTTATACTTTGAACAATGTTTAAATCTCAGAGTCTGCCACTAGGCTCCGGGACCAGGGAGGACCGAGTGCGGAGCTTCCACGTGAAAACAGAAGCAAAGGAAGGACTGAGGTCCTCAGCTTTTTCCCATGACCCATGTCCTTAGGTCCCCTGCCCCCTCAAGCAGCACGTTTGCACTTGCCCTAGCCTTCCTTTTACTGCCACAGTATCCATACAAGCCTTTCTTACCCTTTACAGTTCTCACCAGATTCAATTCTAACTAAGGCTGACTTGCCTAATCCCGTCCTTGCACACCCAGGGTCCATGCAAGGGCAGCCCAAACCTGCTCCCACCCCCTCTGCCCTTCCTTTTTGGCCTCAGAAGCTCCCTGTTCAGCCAAGCAGCCTCCTGCCACGCGCGCTTGACCTTCTGTGCATTGGAAAGGACCGTCCTCCTGCTCTAAAGAAGTTGTCACTGAAGATCAACCAACTCTTCAGCCCTTTGGGCAGTCACGAAGTGTAACAACCAATCATGTCATAAACACTTGACTGGGGATATTTCTGTTACAAATTGAAACACAGAAAGTATTTCATGGTACCGCTCATTTGTGGTTTTCATCAGTCAACATGGAAGTTATTAGCCCTCAACCTCAGGGCTAAACATCACTTAGAATATTTACCTGAAATATCATCTGAGGAGTCCTCATCCTGCGGCCTGTTAGGCCTTTTGCTTCTCTTTGCTTTCTCGGGGTTGGCTCTTGATGGATCTTTCACCCGCATCTGTTATTTACTGGGAAAGAGAAACAGGGGTTGCTGTATTGTCCAAATGCTTCAGCAAACATCTCGAGTTTTGACTCTAAAAGCATGAGATCAAATCACACATTCAAACCTCACGAACATAGTTTTAGGCTTTGACTAATATCAGCTATTGTGTAACAAGGAGTACTAATGAGTCACAAACTTTTAGGAAAGCTGCAAGATCAGTTAATTACGTTACATGACATTATGAATTGTATTCGTAGCTACAGGGGACACACACTTCCAGACACCAGTGTTAAATATTTGAGATACCAAGATTTTCTTTATTTTTGTTATTGTAAACTACTACAGAGCTCCATCCATACCTTATCAGAAAACCTTCATTAAAATAAAAGCTTCTCTTCTTTAACATATCTCCCTTAAGAAAGGGATATCCTTGCACGTTCCCTAAAAGCTTTTGAGCAACTTCAAACACTTTAATAAAATACAAAAGTCTTCCAAATCTCACGAAAGTGTCCTCTCCTATGAGTGAGGACATACTGGAGTGCAAGCCGACCCCTCTATTAAACATCAGAGAAGCCATATGGATGAAGTCTCTCACGGGAAATTTGGGTCATTAATCAAGGAGTCCCATGAGGAACTGAATTAAAGGATAAATATTTTCCACTAAACTTTTTAAATCCTCAGAGGTTTCACCACACTGGTCATTTAATCAAAATCCAAATATGAATTCACTGAAGGAGTATAACTATGCATCACACAAACAGCTTATGAGGCTTAGTATACAGGTTGTCTTTTAATGATGTGCTTCATAAAAATGAATTTATATTTTCATATACAAAGCATATGAATGTAAGATAGTCACAAATTTATACATTGCAAACCTGTGAGCCACTGTGTTTAGAAAAACAAATTACATCTTCTTGTGTACCACAGACAGGTTAACAATGTCACCTGAGCCACCGGTACCATTTTCAATCGTGCTACCTCATTCACGCACAGGAAACCTCTAAAATGCCCTATATTTGGGGACAGCAAAAGATCTTGCTACAGATCAAGTAGATAAGATTGCCAAAGTTTAAAAGGTTGCCTACCTAAGTTTTTAAATCTTCTTTGTATATCCATTTAGACCCTTGTACTACCAAATGTCTGAGAGACACAGGAATTGACCTGTATATTGAACTGAGTATTCCCTCTCCTTTCTCATGCATTGAGCCAACCAGCAGAACAGCCATCAGTACCGACACCAGAGCACCACCATCACTGGCATCTGAACAGCCCTCACTGAAGTGAAGCAATCGGTACTTCAGAGATCCTGTTCCAGGATCTGCCACACATACTGCTAGTGCTGGAGGTTTTCTACATGGATATATCGATTAGAGATTTACTTTGGACAAGCTGAATTTCTGTAGAGTATGAAAGAAATCTTTACTCTCTGCTTCCTTACATCATCGGCTTCATGTCTCCTCAACCCTTCAAGATGCACTTCATTTTTTTCAGAATGCTACATTTACATGGCGATCAGTTTATATTGTATACCATTATGTTCTTAAATTATAGATTTCAAAATTTCCTGTACTTGAATGTATAAAGTTTCAAATTATTAGACGTGCAAGTGAGCAATGCCACTGAATTTAGCTTTGCTGATATTCTAGGTTCACAATTCACATTCACACAGTAAAAAAGATCTGAATATTCCAGCTCTTGACTATTTAGATTGAACAAATGTTAGGACGCCTAATGTACATCAACAGTCAAGCATCACAGCAGGAGAAGGTGCTTCAGACCCAAAAAACTTCAACTTGGCACCTTATCACATACATCTAAGCTTCACGTGAAATGACCCATCACCACTTGTTGCACTGAGCGGAGGACTCATAGAGACACCCATCAAATAGTAAGGCCAACACAGCCTTAATCATGGGTTAGAAAACCCATGATTTTACACTAAATTATGTAAAGAGTCAATAGCAAAGACAGCAAAAATGTCCTCCCTAAAGGAACATAGTTGTGTTTAGGTTACTCAACATTGACGTAAGGGATTTACGAGTTCATTTCAGCTTTGGACAGATTACGTAAGACTGTCCAAACCACAGACTTCACCCAAATGAAAGTCATGTTCATATCAGTACATTTTGAGAGCTCAGATAACTTCATGAAAGAACAATTATGGGCCTGACCAGCTGAACTACAGGCAAGTCTTTACTACCTGTGAAATCTAGCAGCTCCTAGGCCAGGTGACAGGATCCAGATCGGGGCACACACAGCCCACACCACTCAACCCACTCTCTAGGGTCCTTCAGGACATGTGGAAAACGCAAACCATCAGCTGGTACCTGCAATGACTGAAAATGTGGCATTTCTAGCCCAACCTAATCAACACGGCATTAGAAATGCACGCTGGGCATAAGAAGCTGGTGTTCACACTACAGGTTTGGGAACCCACCGAGCCACCCGGAGACTTTTCAGTCTTCTTTCAGTAAGAGCAGGCAGAACAAAAGATAACACGGACCATTAGGTTAATCAGTTTTCATGAACACGCATACAGACAGGCATCCATCAGACAATGTTTACTGACCTGTGAGCTCTCGGAAAAGCCACAGCGTATCAAGGACCTACCCAGCCAGGGTTTGTGCCTGATTTTGAAAAGCATTTAAGTGGTATGAAAGGCTAAGGGCAATGAGCTTCTCAGCAAGCACCTACGATGCAAGCAGCACAATCAACTTTATCTGCCCTTTTTCAGTATATTTGGGGACAAAAAACATTACAAGTAAAAGATTTCATCTAACAATTAAAAACACGATCAACATTTCAAAATCAAAATGTTTATGCCAGGAATTTGATTATTATATTTAACTGAGATAAACAAGGAAGAAACCTAAGGTGCTTCAGAAATTAGTTCTCACAAATGTTTCAGTTTATGGGAACTAAAAGACTTTATTGGAATGAAAAATCTGAACAAACAGACCCAAGAGAGCATAAAATACAGCTACGAAAAAAGCAAGAGAGAAATTCTGTAGGTTTCTGTTGACCATAGGCACAAACCACTCAGGACAAGCAGGTGGAGGATAAATAAATAATTTACACAAAACGAACTCAACACAATGAAGATTAAAAACCGTTGCAATATTCCCGTGTTTTGCCTCTTTCCAACCCATTCTCCCATTTTTTGAATATGTTCAGTGAGTAATTTGTGGCTATTTGTCATCAGTTTGTCATCAACTGTGGAGTCTCCTACAGGAGACAGACTCTCCCTCTGAATGCATAAGCAGAAAGAAGCCTCTATGCATCCTCACTTGTAAGTTTCTTTTTGTGATGGAAGAATAAATATGGTAAGTTTCTCACTTCACATGCACAAAATCAAGTCACAGTGTAAATGATGTTTGACTAATGAACCTGAGAAATTAAAAACAACCCTGATTTTTGTGATAACAGTAGCTGAGTTCAGAGGGTATGTTAACTCCAACCTGATCTCTGTTTGGTCCACAGTAAAAACCTTAAGCAAAGATTATGTAGTTTCATGGGGAAACAACTAAAAATAGAAAGAGCTAAATCTCTTCCTTATAAACAATCATTTCATACAAAACTAAGAAGTAGTCCTTGCCAAATGTGCTCAGATTGTTTTAGCTCAGCATTCAAGAGTTTGAAGCATAATCATCATCACTTGCTATTCTCGGTTTACTTTTTACTTCTTGAAAGACTCCTAATGGGAGTCTGCCTACAAAAAGCTGATTAAGATCAAAAGCTCCTCGCTACAACTGCTCATTTCCACCTTTCTAGAAAGATCAAACCACTTCAAAAGCAGCAGAATGATCTGCCTACCTAATTTTAAAACCTTTAAATTTGACAAAGTGCCAAAAATCAACATGCTAAATTTGTTACATTAAATCCAAGGCTATTTTAAACATAAGATATGCCTGAAAGAGTCTATAAGTAACAGCATTAACATTTCTATATTTAGAAACGCACCCTCTTCATAAAGTTTATATTTAGAAAGTAAAAATAGCTGGATGTAGTTCTAAAATAAATAACTGTTGTTTTTTAAAGTTTTGTATTTTAGTGGAACTCAGCAGAGCTAGAACCAATGAAAGATAAAAGGGTAGTATGAACTAGAATTCACTTTTTTTTGGAGAAAAAACCAACCAACCAAAAAAAAAGCCCCAAACCAAAACCAAACAGGTTGTTCCTCTTCATACCATCTTTATGCAAGAGAGGTGGAGAAGCAAACTACATCTTCACTGTCTAGACTTCTGAAAACTTATTCCCGTCTCATCATCTCACACTCCTTATTTAGAGGTTGAGTCCCTCCTCCTACAATGTCTACAGCTCACTTGCTAAATTTTGAAATGTGCCACCTTAGTGAATTTTCCCATGCTGTAGCTTCACTATGAAACCCAGCATTGGACTCTTTGAAGATTCAGCTGGACAGAGCGCTGGGCCATCTTGTCTGGACCACACTTTTCCTGGGAAAGGTTGGACCAGATGATCCTTCAGGTCGCTTCCAACCTGGTATTCTCTGATATGATTCTGTGAAGCCCAAACCAGATCATCAGTATGTTAGAGAAATAACCTGCTGTGTTGACTACTACCATACCGCTACTTCCACCTGCCAAGATCCACATCTTCCCTTGTCTTATAATTAGGCTGCTAGATCTTTCAGGCAAGTACCACATTTTTCTTCTTACCTGTGTGATACCTATCACAACATTTTTCCTGATTCTTGATTAGGCTTCCATTACTAGAATGCAAACAACAAGATAAGACTGGTCTAAGAGCCACCAGCTCATCTAAGCATACTTACCCTATGAAATACAGCCAAGTGAGCCTACAGACAGTCTCCAGGTACTATTTTGGATACCGGTAAGACTCTCCCAGTAGGACTGGCCGTTAACTGTGAAACCAGTGCTGTTCATCATTCCATCAGTGAGCACCTGAATTCGAAGTAGCTGGGGCAAACACTTTTACCTCAATCCCTCAATTCATCTGAGGTATCCTAAATACCAACCATCTCACCATTTGTAGTCAAATTCTCCAATTAAAACCCCTGCATCACACTGAAAGGGCACAGCGCGCTGAACACAGCATTTCAAAAACTAGCACTTTCACGTAACTTAACAGACCTGCCCAGCTGCCAACAGCAGCCTACCACCAAAGCAAGGGGCTGAGGAACAGCACAGATGTGCAGATGAAGTCCAAAGGCCATGAGATGCTCCATAGCACATTTGTGAAGGGGCTTTACAAGCTTCAGCGTAACTGTGAGGGTACAAAAAGCAGAGCCTCGTGCAGGTCAGTAATGCCAGATCCTCTGCAGAACTGCTACATGTTTTGATGTAAGCTGCAATTTGATATATTTTGGACGTCTGTTCCGAGCGTTACCTGTGGCATTTTGGCTTGCTGGCTGCTAGATCAAATGTCACCCAATCAGAGCAACAACTGCATCCATCACGGTTAGCAACCGGGCAGTGTCACCCATCAGCGGGCCAGGAAGCTCAGCGCTCTGACAGCCACCGAAACCTTTGTGGCAAACAAGCCCCCACTGCCTGCTAGAGCAGTAAAAGGACCAGAACTGCTGACTGGTAGTGGCAGCAACACTTCTTCCCCTGGAAAATGTCATCTGAAATTCTGAAAGTGTCATCTCCAAGATTCCCTAGCCCAAAGGCACATCACACATCCTACACCGTCACTGGAGCTCAAAACGCCAATCCTGACATTATATTACAGTCCTAACAGGGTGACACACCGATGTACTCTTTGCGCAAGGAGTGAGACAGAGCCTTCAGACCACTAGATACAACTTCGCAAGTGACGGTAAAAATCCCATAGCATTTCTCACTTTTATTAATCCTTTTTAACCAGCCTCCCAAGCTAAACATGGTCTATCAACGTTCACCATGCTTTCATTCTGCACAATCCCCCTCAGAGTTGCTACTGAAACCCACCTGCCGCAGAAAGATTACTTCTAAGGATGAACATAAACCAGATGTGTCCAGAAACAAGAAGGAAAAAACTCTGTAACTGAGCTTATGACTAAAGGAAATTAAAGGACTGAGTGGGCAAAAGGAGTAGTATTTTGATGACATATTTTTGCTAGGATCTTATAAAGGTTTTGCTATGGAAAATTTCAGGGATATCTGCCAACATCCAAACTCATAAAGCAAATTGCAACTTTTGCTTATGTCCTCTATCCCACCTTAAATGTATTTAAAAAAAAACATGAACACACCAAGAGGGAAAAACATCTGGGTGGATGCATCCATGACCTAACATGGTTTTTCCTACAAATTCACAGTTTAAAAAGCAAAACACAGAAGTATGACAAAAAGAGCCATGGCTTATAACTCAGGATGCTGGCCCGCAAGTGAAAACTTTGTATGTGAAGAGGCACTCAGACGACAGAGCTGACAGACTATGCACTCACATGATATGAACACTGATGCAATGGTGCCATCACCACAGAAAAATCTGAGGGTGTAACAACGGAAACAGCTGGAGAATAACCTGTGAACTCCTAGGACCTTGGCAGGATAACCATGTGGACAAAAATTGGGAAAAAAAAAAAGCTGTTCAAGATGACATAAGAGAAAATGAAGGGCAATATGAACAAAGGATGAACTCCAGAGAAATGCTAAGTCTGGGAAGCCTAAAAAGAAAAAAGGAAGAAGAAATAGTAAATTAATAGCGAGTGATGAAAAGGAACCGTGGTTGCAGCACAGCGTGTGAGGTGGCAGGCTGAAGCACACACAAGATAACACGTTAAGCTGAGACTCACACTGCACCTCTGCCTGAAGGACTGAGTAGGAGAAGATGAAGGAAGACAATGGCTACGTGTAACTTCCTACCTGCTCTGGAAGATTGTTGTGGGACTCTGTTGTGGGTCTCAGCTAATTAACGGGAGTAAAGCACATAAAACCATAAATGACTACAGAAAACCAGTCTGAGCTCTTTGAAAGTCAAAGTCTTGCCGCCGAGAGCAAAAAATTTCATTCCATTTTCTTCCTCCACGCAAATTGCCCCAGTTTGTTTTGATGACACGTTTAAAGTGGAACAACTTGTCCTTGATCTACGATTGATGCTCACAGCGGAACCCGTGAGACGCTAACTGCACTTCTGTGAATCTCATACAAACAAGACTACAGAGCACCAGTTCTTCAATATTTCATTAAGAAATCTGACAAAACATTTACAACCGTAGTAAACTGCAGAGCAATTTCACAAAGGCATGTTCTGTTATCAATCTGGCACATGCTCGTGCTACTACTACACTTCCATTTAAAAAGCTGGAAAATGAGGGCAGAAGGAAGCCTTTAAACATGACTGCTTTATGTGCTTGCACGAGAGGATTATTTAATGAAATTGGGAAATACTTGTAGCTAAAGATGACATGTAATAAGAGCACAGTGCTACACCTGGAGCAATTGCAATGCACTTCTGCGTTCTTGATGTCTTACTTTATTCTTGGGCATCTGTGTTTAAAATATTGTTGTGCATATCCTGTTTAATGCGAGTAGCAACATAGCTATAGCAAGAGCACGATGAAGCCCTAAAGTAAATGACATCAACAGCAAAAGACCGAATAAAGTTCTAAAACAAATCCAGTAATCAGCGAATCAAAACATTAACTCAAAGATACGGTGCAGAGTCGCAGCTACAGGTCTAAAGCACCGCGTCTGGAGAGGACCTCTCTGCAGAGGGCCGTCACCAGGCTGTCATCTCATCACCAGGCACGGACCCGTCTGCGTTTTGCTGAAAACCAAGCTTTCGAGTGGCGGAGCACCAGCGCGGCGGCCACACGCACCGCCTGGGGAAACACCGGGTGTGGGGAGCCGGCAGCCTGCCTCGGCCCCGGCCAGGCCGGAGCGGCAGCAGGCCGGCGGTGGCATCACCAGGCCGGCATATGCCCGGCTGTCAGAGCAGGGCAGCGGTATCCAGGCCAGCCCCATCGCCCAGAGCCCCAGGACCATCCCGTAACCGCGCTCTGCCTAATGCAAAGCGAACGGAGCTTATGTTCCAACCCGACCCAAGGCGACGCTACCGACGCTCTCCAATTTAACAGACCGAGAAACTTACTGCAGGTCACGGAGACGGCCCGGTGCGGCTGTTCGTCGTGCCACGGCCTGATAAACGGTCACCCCCTTCTAGCGGCCACCGGCACCCCAGAGGCGCCCACGCCAGCCGTACCGGGACACCGGGCAGGGCTGCCCCGGGGAGCAGTGGCCGGCCCGCGGCTACGGCGGGGCAGTACCCCCCCTCCTCCGCCTCCCGGTCGCCCCCAGCCCGGCACAAGCTCGCCCCCGTCCCCGCACCCAGCCCGGCTGCACCTACGCGGCTCCTCCGCGGGCCCAGCCACCGCCATGGCGGGGCGGCCCGGCCCGGCCCGGCTCTCCAG